CTGAGCACAGAGCCCAACTTAGGGCTCCAAACGACCCTGAGATCATGACTGGAGCCTAAACCAAGGGTCAGACACTAACTGTCCACCCACGTGCCCCAAAAGTAAAAGATACTTTTAAATGAAAAATGCGGGCGCCTGGGTGGCTCAGTTGGTTAAGCGACTGCCTTCGGCTCAGGTCATGATCCTGGAGTTCCAGGATCGAATCCCGCATCGGGCTCCCTGCTCAGCAGGGAGTCTGCTTCTCCCTCTGACCCTCTTCCCTCTCGTGCTCTCTGTCTCTCATTCTCTCTCTCTCAAATAAATAAATAAAATCTAAAAAAAAAAAATAAAGCTGTTTTTAGAAAAAAAAAGAAAAATGCTGACAAAATAGAATATAATAACATTTTATATTTTTAAAGATTTTTATTTACTTATTTTGAGGGAGAAAGAGAATCTGAAGCAGACTCCAAGCTGAGTATGGAGCCCAATGCAGGACTTGATCTCAAGACCCTGAAATCACGACCTGAGCCGAAATCAAGAGTCAGATGCTTAACTGACTGAGCCACCCGGTGCCTGGAATATAATCCCCTTTTAAATGGTCCAATATTAGTCTACCTAGAGAAAACAATCTGAAAAATTATGATGCAAACCATTAACACCAGGTAAGTTTCTTTGTACATACCTGTAAATATTTGGATGTTTTTTACAGTGACCATGTGCTCTGTACATAATCAGGGGGCAAAGTTTCTTGCTAAAGGACAGCCCTGTTAACAGGCAGCTGCACAATCAGACCCCAATTTATCAGACTCCAACTTTACCTCCCACCAATCTCCTCGTCCTGGCTGCATCCCTATATTTCCCAAATATACCATGTTTTTTTTATACTTGTGTGCCTTTGCCTAGAATGCAAATAAGCGGACAACCATTGGATACTCTCCTTCCAGGCCTAAGTGAATTATCGCCTCTTCTGTGAAACAGGAAGTTGAGCATCCCTTCTTTGGGGTTCCAAAAGCATTCAGTATGTCATGCCACAGTTACCACTTTCCATCTCCTCTTCTGTACTACATTCTGACATTTAAAAAAAAAAAACTTCAACAATTATTAATCCAGTAGAGTTTTCAGGGATGTGTATTTATTGTTTTTTAAAAGATTTTATTTATTTATCTGAGAGAGAGAGAGAGCACAAGCAGGGGGAGTGGCAGAGGGAGAGGGAGAAGCAGGCTCCCCTCTGAGCAGAGAACCCGATGTGGGCGCTCCATCCCAGGTTCCTGGGATCATGACCTAAGCCGAAGGCAGACACTCAACCGACTGAGCCAGCTAGGCGCCCCTACATTCTGACCTTTTATGATGGTAAGGACTATCATTTGTTCATCTTTCTATCTGTCCCAGCTGCTGGAATAGTGTTCATCATATCATAGACATTCAAACTATTTGCTGAGTGAACGAAGGAAGACATTAATAAGTGAATAGTCAAACTGCATAGAGGATTTGCACAATACTTTCTAGCCAGTCTAAGAGACATCACAAGGCAGTACACGATTAATTGCTGAATGAATCGTACACCAGTAATTCCTATAGAAATCAGAGGAGGCGTCTTATACATCTTTGTATATCCCCTAGAGTACCTAGCAAAGTGACTTGCTCATAGTGAAAGCTCAGTAAATGCTCCGTGAATGAATAATCACTGCTTTTGAATCAAGTGATAATGTGCAATTGAAGAACAAGCAGTGTAAGTGCTGAATTAAGATGGATGAGAAGTTTCTTGCTTGAACATCCATTACCAGCCTCCACAGAGTTGAGGCAGCAAGCATTTGGTGTTTGTGGGGAGCACTGGGTTGGCAATTGCTTGGGGGTGGGGAGGACACAAGAAAAATTTAAAGCATCGATTTGGGGAGCGTAGACTTAAAACCAGGAAATTATACACACAGCAGAGAATAGGAAGGACAGTGTACAAAAAAAGGACTACACAAAATGTGACCAACTGCAAATGTTCAAGAGTCAGTAAGAGCAATGGGTAAGTAGAAAAGAGGAAACCCAGGGGCACCAGGATGGCTCAGTCGTTAAGTTAAGCATCTGCCTTTGGCTCAGGTCATGGTCCCAGGGTCCTGGGGTTGAGCCCCGCATCGGGCTCCCTGCTCAGCAGGAAGCCTGCTTCTCCCTCTCCCCCTCCCCCTGCTTGTGTTCCCTCACTCACTGTGTCTCTCTCTGTCAAATAAATAAATAAAATCTTAAAAAAAAAAAAAAGAAACGAGGAAACCCAATTTTGGTGGAGTATTTGGAAAAGTTTAATGGTGGGGAGAGCAGATAGGGTCATTAACTCAGCAACTATTTATCAAGCTCTACTATGTGCCAGGAATTCCGGTAGGTACTAGGAAATGATGATAAATGGCTCTAGGGATACAAGTCTGATTACGGTAGGTATGGAAAGAAAGAACAGGAATTAAATACCGGCTAGAGGAAAAGGAGTGTGGCTTCAGATATCTTTGGAAACTGATGACTTTACACTAAAAAATAGGACTAGGAAGCACCATCAAAACCAGGGCTGTTCCGGGCACCTGGGTGGCTCGGTCAGTTATGCGTCTACCTTCGGCTCAGGTCATGATCCTGGGGTCCTGGGATCAAGTCCCCGCATCAGGCTCCCTGCTCAGAAAGGAGTCTGCTTCTCCCTCTGCCCCTTACCCCCAGCTCGTGCACTCTTTCTCCCTATCTCTCTCTCAAAAATAAATAAAATCTTGGGGTGCCTGGGTGGCCCAGTCATTAAGTGCCTGCCTTCGGCTCAGGTCATGGTCCCAGGGTCCTGGGATCGAGCGCCGCATCGGGCTCCCTGCTCAGCAGGAGGCCTGCTTCTCCCTCTCCCACTCCCCCTACTTGTGTTCCCTCTCTTGCTGTCTCTCTCTGTCAAATAAATAATTAAATCTTTTAAAAATATAAATAAATAAATAAATAAATAAATAAATAAATAAATAAAATCTTTAAAAAAAAATCGGGGCTCTTCTGTCAGACTAAGGAGTAAAAAACATTGGTATATCTTGTTTCACCAGTTTCTTCATCTAGATTAATGACCCCATTCCCTGACACCAAAGGGGAGAAAACGTGCTAGTGAAAGGGTACACCCCTCCTCCAAATGGCTGTCCAGCCTGTTTATGGTAGTCCTAATAAGACTCAGTTGGTTAAAGGGCTTATGACCAGTAAATGATCCAGAAACCCACCATTTCAATCTTTTATTTTCATTCTTGATAAACATGATCTTCAAAAGTCTTGGTCTATAAATAACAACATCTCTTTTGATTTCCAATGTCAGGTACTGTTAGAGAAGGTAATTGAGAGAACATGACCGCCAGTTGACCCTCGCGCTGTACCCTGGCAGTCAGAGGATCCTTACCCCCTTCCCTGTCTTTGGAATATATACTCTGCCCACTATTTCCAAAGTGGGAGCTGCTCCAAGAACATAACCTTGAGGGAGTAAGGTTTTGTTGAGACCATCTGGACGGTATATGTGACTGAACCCAGTTAAGGCCTCTCTATATGAACTTTTTTTTTTTTAAAGATTTTTATTTATTTATTCAAGAGAGAGAGAATGAGAGATAGAGAACACAAGAGGGAAGAGGGTCAGAGGGAGAAGCAGACTCCCTGCCGAGCAGGGAGCCCGATGTGGGACTCGATCCCGGGACTCCAGGATCATGACCTGAGCCTAAGGCAGTCGCTTAACCTACTGAGCCACCCAGGCGCCCCCTTTATGAACTTTTAAGACTCTGGTGGGCAGGTGAGGAGATCTACTTGCCTTATGGCTACCCAAGACAAGCCTTGTATAGGGGCTAGTTTCAGATTCCCTTTTCTTTGAAATTCTAGTTCTTCTTTCTACTCTGTTATGTTTGTCTTTCTAGTTATTTACTTCTGGGGTGGGGCAGTCCTTCCATTGCTACTCATCACTTTGTACCTCTCTTTTCTGTTCTACCTGGAGTGTTGTAGGCAGGGAGAAAACTTTCTAATTGTTCTCAGTTCTTTCTTTAGGAAGCAATCACTTAAAACAGTTGGTTCTCAGACTGAAATAAATCTGTTATTAATGCTTCCTCAGCCAACCAGCTGCAAAACCAAACAATATTCTTTGAAAGAGGAGCACAGAAAACCATCCTATTTCCTGGTGCATATGGGAGAGGGATTTAAAAATCCCAACTACTGAAGTGATATAGGACAGGCTAGAACCTCCCTTTTTTAGTAACAAAGCAAGAAAAATGGAGGGGAGAATAAGTACTTAGCTTGACTTGTAAAACTCCTCACTGAAGTAATTTTCATACTATCAATTTGCCTAATTATGGCAAAGCATTACGGATTATTCACATCATTAAATATGTCAAGCTAAATTATTTGATTGCAACACCAACCTCTTGTTCATAGTCTCTCAGTCTTCGTGCTTTGTTGCTTATATTGTTGGGTTATCTGCTCACAGGTTTTAATATGAGATTAAGGAAGAATACTGGCCTAGGAACTAAAGGACAATGTGCCTTGTACAGTGACCATGAATGTGACAATGACATGAATATGACTAATAGCTTCACTTTCTATTGAACCAGCTCATAAAATCTCGGGGAAGGATGGTGGCAGCAGAGTTGTTTCCCAAAGAGAACTTTTTTAACAGTCTCTTTGGATACCTACTTACAAATTTAGTTTCTGATCCTCACTGTATTGAAATCCAAGGTTTTGTTACATAATATATTCCTAAAAATGTGTATAAAAGTTGAGTGTGCAGAAGTTGAATAAATTTATGTTATAATGGGTAGTTCTGTTTCCAGAAAATGAAGAATTTCACTTCATTGTTGGAGACATTCTTTGATAACATGGAACAGCTTGGATGTGCAATGAACTCCTGACCATTTCCACCCATGTCTCAAGTGTGTCACATTTGTCAGACCCAAGTGTCTAATCAGCACTTTCAATTTTGTTTTCCACTTACTTTCACAGAAGAATAAAATGTAACTAAATATTCCAATATTGTACAAACAGTGATGTGCATACAAAGATGCTAACACCAATAGCTGGCAGTAAGTTTTGCCATGTTATTGATCTAAATGCTTATTAATCAGAGAATGCACAAAAATCTAAATTTGGCCTCTAAGAAGGGGCCCAGAGACACTGAATATTAAAAAAAAAAGTGTAGCTTTATCAAAATCAAATGTGCTTAAGAGATCATCTATAAATAAGAGGAAGGACATCCACACCAACATTATAATTTCTTGCTCTCCCTCTATCCCACATTACCCTCTTTCTCCCAAAGAAGTGACAAAGAGAGTAAAGGAACCATGCAGAATGGCTACCATGTGCCAGGCATTGTGGTAGGTGATTTGCACAAACACTCTCTTAATGGCCACAGCCAATAGTGTATTTTATGTCAGAAAAATGACCCACAACCCATAAGCTATTAATTTCAATATGAGCCCTTGTTTGCTGGACCGATGAATGAAATTGGAAAACAACAACAACCCTGAATCATTAGAAAAGGACACAATAAAACTGTACTTAAATAGATCATTAATACTGTGGCTTATATCTGTGTGGGATAGAGAATACATTTCCTGAAAAATCACCAGATTTCTGATATTTTTTAAAGAAGTATGTCTGATACTAACTTTACTGTATGTTTAAGTATCAAATTAAGGATCTGTGCTCTAAAGGTAGATTTCTGTGCCAGTGACTCAAAATTAATGACATATTAGTGGCATATGACAATTATGACATATTAATGGCTCTCTATTCTTTGTACAGATATCCCAAGTCTAGTGGTAATAATAAGGAAATAGATAAATGTTTCTATTTTACATTCTTCCTTTCTCTTCTGACCTCTTGGCAGAGAAAGAGTCAAGGATCCTTCTCTCTCCTTATGGCCAGAACTAGTAAGACCTATAAAGACTACAGAACAATAAATGTGGTCATTGGCATCCCAAGCTTCTGGTTCCCAACCATTTGCAGATATTCCTTGGCAACAATACTGTTTTGGAAAGCATACTGAATTATAAATGCCCAAATTGAAAAAAATACTTGATAGTCCCATGCCTGGGAGATATGGAAGGACATTTCTGGAAGGTCAATAGTCAGTTAGTGACCAAATTTCTACATGTGGGCATTTCTTGAGGGAGAGCGATTGGCTATCTAGAGATTGAAAGTGTGGTGACCTGAAATTAAGAGACCCAGCCTCTAAACACATCTCTTCTTCTAACCAATTGTGTACTCTTAGTTTCTGTGGAACCTCAGATTTGCCTTCCATATAAAAGGAGTTAGGACTAATCCATCTCTAAAATCTTTTTCAGTTTGTTCTGTTGTGACCAGGCCTGGCATTTAGACACCCTCCAGAATCTACAGGAAAGTTGAAGAACCATTTAAAAATCAGAACATATCTCCTTACCCGGATATTGTAAGTCTTAAATCATAACCACTTCTAGAAGTTAGTCTGGACTAGCAAATAAGTAAGGCCTAATATAAGTGCATTTCAGTAAAATCACTTGTAAAAGTACATTTATAATCAATCTTCTCAGGCTTCTGACATGCCAAATTTGAGGTAAGTATTCCAATTAAGTCTTTATCCTTCTGGCAAACAAGGCTATGGATCAATATACTTGGTGATGGTGAATAAAGTCCTCAGTTTTTCACTTCTTCATGCCTTAATAATATCTTCTTCAAGGAAAGCCCAAACCAGCAGGGCCACAATGACATCAGCCATGAGAGGAGGTCTTAAGTCAGTAGTCCTGCCATAGAACTCAACACGAAGACATCATTAACAGGCTGAAATTGCAAGTCTCCAAGTCCGGACGTAGGCAGGTTTTAGGAGGTGGAGTCAGCGCCCTCTGGGTGGAACAGGCGGAGGGGGGTGGAAGGTCTCCCTGGGAGGAGGCCTGAAATAAAAGATAAAGGAATAGTTTTTAAATGAATTTGATTAACTAGTTCTTAGGCATCCATGGTTTGTTGGAAACTCAGTAAACTATGCAAAGGTAACATGTTCCGTAATTGATGAAACCATATGGACCACTGAGTGGCATATCTGCTGGCCGTGCCTCACAACCTTAGCTGCACATTAGAGTCACCAGTGGACCTTTAAAAAATACCAAGTCCCAGGCTTTCTCCGAGACCCATTCCTTCATAACCTCTAAAGGATAAGGCTCAAGCATGGTATGGTAAGAAAAACAGGTCAGGAGACAACTGTTCTTGAGAAGATAGTTTGTTGTACTCATAGATCCCAAGAGGTGGGGGCACATTATGCCATGGGGGCCCGCTGGGGAAGTACCAGGTTTAGTCAGGAGAAAGGCAGTGGAGTTGGGGAACATGGGCCAGAGCTTTTATTGTGGTTTCTGCAGGAGGGTACAAGGAAGGTAGAGTAATTTTTTTAACAGTGTCTCTCCCCCAACAAGTTATATTAACCACGTCTTTCATTTATTTATTTTTTAAGATTTTATTTACTTACTTGACAGAGAGAGAGCGAGCACAAGTAGGCAGAGCAGCAGGCAGAGGGAGAGGGAGAAGCAGGCCCCCCACTGAGCAGGGAGCCCGATGTGGGACTCCATCCCAGGACCCTGGGATCATGACCTGAGCCGAAGGCAGATGCTTAACCAACTGAGCCACCCAGGCGCCCCTGTCTTTTATTTTCTGATGCTTTGATACCTGGAGCCTTGCTAATCCTGGAGGGACTGCCCCTCCCATGGCAAACGAACTCTTATAGATAGCAACTTGCTGATGAGCACACCTTTCATATGCAAACTAACCAGTCCCAGCCTATACCCCAACCACTTCCTTTATGGGCTCTCGCATTTGGGCCCTATCCATCTGCCCTAATCACAGGAGGGACAGGAGTGCCAGGTGCCAGACAACTAGGGACCTTTGCCCCAGAGTCTACTGAAATTACTCAAACTAGCCAATCCTAAATCTGCTTACTCTACCTTCCTTGTACCCTCCTGCGGAAACCACAACAAAAGCTCTGGCCCATGTTCCCCAACTCCACTGCCTTTCTCCTGACTAAACCTGGTACTTCCCCCGTGGGCCCCCATGACATAATGTGCCCCCTCCTCTTGGGATCTATGAGTACAACAAACTATCTTCTCAAGAACAGTTGTCTCCTGATCTGTTTATCATACCATACCTAAATAATAATAAAGCCTTGGGCTCAGTTGGTTAAGCATCTACCTTTGGCTCAGATCATGATCCTAGGACTCTGGGATTGATTCCTGCATCTGGCTCCCTGCTCAGCGGGGAGTCTGCTTCTCCCTCTACCCCTCCCCACTGCTCATGATCTCTCTCTCTCTCTCTCTCTCAGATAAATAAAATCTTTAAAATAATAATAATAATAAAGCCTATATTTTAAAACACCAGTGATTCAAATATGCAGCCAGGCAGGAGACATACTGTAGGAGGGGGTCCCTTGAGAGAAGAATTAACAATTTCTAAAGTCTGCTTCCCACAACTACTTCCTCATGGGATCACTAAGTGTGTTATCTCAACTCCACATTTACTTTCCTAGAAGCCCCACTCCATGTTATTCTGGATGGTTTTTAAACAGTCCTAAATGCCATTCCAGATAGACCTGGGTGAGTCTATTTACAGAGAGGTTCAACAATTGTGGCTAGTGTTTCCACATGTGTGCCGTAAAACCAATATTTGATTCTCTTGGAAGCAAGTCAATAAGTCAAGAAAGAGAGCTTTGTCAGGTGCTGTAATTGAACTGTGCTATCCTGGAGTTGCATAGTTGAGGATTGAATGAATCAAGGATTAAATATTTACTAAATGTTTCTTGAATGCAAGTTTTACGTAGGTCAAGGAAATGACAAAAGAGTTGAAGAAAGAGGGGCTGTCTCAGGAACAAGGCAGGGAAGCAGGAATAGAAAAGAACTGCCACAAACATCCTCAGGAGGCCCTGCTGTGGCCTCTGGAAGTAGGTGGTTTTGTGTGGTTGCCTCTTTATCCAGAAAAAACAAATGGACCGTCTCCTTCTGCCTTCCCAACCTGCCCTATAAAACCAGAGCTTACAGGAGAAGGCTGAAGGAAAGTCAGGTAATACCACTCATTACCGGAGTAAGCTTATTTAGGCTTCTTGGCTTCCTGGATTGCTTGTTTGCTTGCTTGCTTGCTTCCTTCCCTCTCACCTTCCCTCCCTCCCTCTCAAAAAACTTTTATCTATGTGTCTACTCCTGAGCATGGGATATAGCAGCAAGTTCAGTGGACATGGATCCTGCCCTCACAGTGCTAAGAAAGTAATGGATAAAACAGACAATAGGAACAATCAGTAAACTGCATTATTTTGATAGAGGAAGTTCAGAACCTATGAGAACATAGAGCAAAGGCACCTATGCACGCAGCTGAAGGACAAGTTCCAATTTCTCTTAATGTGTTTCTCATCAGCCCAACAGAAGTACCTACAGGTATGTACATCAGAGTGTTGTGTGAGGCTTGGAGATGACAACTGGAAAGTAGGCAGCACAGTTGTGCCTTAGAGTAGGCACTCAAGAAGTAAAGCTCATAATTTTATTATTATGAATAAAGATCTGTTCTTAGTCTTTTTCCCATGGATGCTCCATGAGCCTTACAATTTATCGTCCACCATAAAGACAGTCGTGATGCCCTGCTGGCCCCTTTTCCTCCCTCTCTCTGCTGTCCCGTTCTGCAGCTGGGGTGGGCCTACAAGCAAATTATTTCTGTATTTTATTGTGATGAACAATCCCAACCTAGGATTGGAAGTCCTATCTCAGGGAAATCGATTTGTGATTCTAGACATACCAGAACCATGGAAGTAAAGCGTATTAAATCAGAATCAAGGGCTGGTCTGTGGGGAGACAGCCTCTGCAGGACACTGGGGAGCTGGAGTTGGAAACACAAGTGACCAGAGGTACCTAACAACTGGCTGTTTTCTCCTCCCTGTTGAGGGTAAGGTCTTGCAGCTGATGAGTTTGGTTCAAGAACCCAGCAATCTTGATGTTGGTTAATGTTCTTTCAAAGCAGGACTGTTATTTAGCTGGTATGCTTTTGTATGATCATAACATTGTTGAAAATATTTTTAAACTTCCCTATTAGTAAATAGCTTCTGTCCCAAGTACCCTCACTCCCTGACCACTCCAGCCCCTCCTAGGGACTCCACAGACCTCTTCACAAGTCTGCATCTAAAGTATTAACCTCTGGCACTGCAGGAGGCCTCCGGAAGAATGTTCTGATTACACAGGACCTTGGCTTTGCCTTAAAGGGGAGTGCACAAATTGTTAGTGACTGACAAATCACTAGTGAATGGCAAAATATGCTTAAAAAGCAAAGTAGCAATGGCTCAGTAAGATTTGGGGTTTTGTTTTGCGGGGTTTTTTTTTGTTTGTCTGGTTTTGGTTTTTTTGGTCAACTGGCAGGATCTCACCTGTGAAGAGTGTGATATTGTTAGCTGCCCACTCTCTAAGGAGTAATGCCCTGCAAGGGAAATGCTATGCAGAGGTATAATGCATCTGCTCCTGTTCTTGTCACCATCTGCCTTCCCTGACTTTGAAATACATTAAGAACTTAAAGGTGGGAGTGTGAAGCCTCTTTCCACTAATCTATGACCCACCTGCCCTGTGGCAGATGACCTGATGGCTAACTCTTCAGGAGATAGGTAGTCTAACACAAGCAGTACCAATCTCTCCATCCATCCAGTAATTCACTTACACAATAAATATTTATTAAGTTCCTACTGTGTTCCAGTTACTGTGCTAAGCACTGGGGCTGGGGACAGTAGGAAAAATGTTTTAGTCAAAAACAGTTTCTATTCTTTAAAGGCTCACCATCCACTTGTGGAAACAGATACATAAACAAGGGCCATCATGTGGAATGAATTATAATAGAGGTATTTGGAGAACCACAAGAAGGCTCATTTTGCATAGGAACATTAGGGAAGCCTTCATAGAGGAGGTGATGACTAGACTGAATCCTAAAGGATGTGCAAGAATTTTCTAAGCAGAGGTTGGAAAGGAGTAGGGAGACAGCATTCCAGGCAAAGACACAGTTCTAAATGGCACAGCTCACTGGGAATGCAGGGGTGGAGCATCAGTGAATACAGGAGAAGGTGGGACTTGAGGCTAGACAGTTTTTAATGCTAAAAACTACAGCGTTAAATGTGAAGGCTTTTATGCCAGGAAGTGACATCATCAGCAATTTCTGATCTAGAAGGCGCACTCTGGCAGTAACGTGGAGGAGGGAGGTAAGTGTGGGTCTACAAGGATGAACGTCGGCACAGGCAGATGGAGAGGAGGTGGATCCGAGAGCTGAAAGGGCAGCAGAACAGACAGAGCCTGGAGACACGCTCTGTGCGAGCTGCCAGGGAGGCAGGGTTGGAGGATGACTCCTGGGTTTGGTGCTTGGGGAAGTGAGAGAACCGTGCCATTATCACAGGCTGGGAACTCACCAGAAGAAGACAGTCTGGGGCAGAGAATGGCAGGTGGGATGAATTCAGTTTTGCACGGGCTGTATTTGAGATGTCTGTGGGGCATCTGGGTTGAGGTCGCCAGCAGAGAGTAGGAAACAGAGGGCTGAGGTAGACGTGGAAGCTTGGAGTCCTCACTGGCAGCTCAAGTTCTGGGGACAGCATGTGGAGTGAGCAGAGGAAGGGACCAGGACTGGGAGGGGCCGAGAAGCACTGCGCCCCCAGTGCTGTTTGAGAGCAGAGGCACTCAGGAGACATGGCCAAAGAACAGTTACTGATTCCCAGATCTGGAAGGGCAGAGGAGACCCCCAAGGTGAGCCTCCCCTCCGGTCTGTCAGCAGGTCAAGCATGGAAGCCATTTATTGGCTTTATTATTTTTTCAAACATCTCCTCATTTTATTATGCGAATTGCATACATACTTACAAAACAATTGCATATTTGCTAACCTTTCTTCACACCAAAAAGGAACCCAAATGCCAAGTTCTATCAATTACAGATTTCTTTGCAAACACTATTCCTTTAGTAAAAGTGTTTTCCTCTTTTTTGCTCCCATTTTTATCGCAACATGCTTCCAAACTCCCCCAAAAGTTTATCAGCCATCTCTGTTTACACATTTATATGTATCTCAATTTCTATCCTTTAATTTCTGGAACGTGTTTTCCTGGTTTTTCTCTTTTCCTCTCCCATTAACAAAATCCCAGAGTCTTGCAGGTATAGTTTCAAACTTGACAACTATTTTCATCTTCTTGAAACTAGTCAACTGCCTCCAAACTCTACAGTCTTTAGGAATAAGAGGTCTTAGGTCTTGGATCTCCTATGGACACCCTGACCTTCTTGAACAGGTGTCACAAAATGACTAAGACACTAGAGCCTCCAGTCAGGCACACCCAGGTCTGCGACACAGAACAAGTCTTAATCTAGTCCAAGACCCAGTGTGTATATCTGCAAAATGGGATAATCCTAAATATCTATCTCTAAGAGTTGTGGAAGGAATTAAGATAATGCATTCAATGTGTTGAACATAATACCTAGTACATAGTACACACTCAATACAGATTAGCATTTATTACTATAGTTCTCCATAAACACCTCTTCCCAATTACCAACTATATAATTTTCAAGCAACAGCACATTATGCCAATTCAGGGGACTGGACCAGATTATCGCTACGGGTCCTTCCAGGACTAACATTCTACTATGTGATCTCTAGTCTACACCAAGGAAACATGCCGGTGAACGTGACACGGCTTGCGATTGCGGGGCTCTGTGTAACAAGTGTCAGTACGTGAATGTTACTGGGAGCACACGCTAAGGGGGGTGAACAACAAAGGGAGAAGTGGACAGACACCTAGCACACAGTCAGCTTCTCTTTCCAGAAAACCAGAAGAAAAGCTTCCTTGTTGCACTTTCTCAACAAATTGCACTGATGAGATTCATTTAAGTTTCAACATTAAAAAAAAAAAAAACCTGGTTGAAAAAAAAGAAAGCTTCCACCTTTTATTTTTTTTATTTATTTTTTTAAAAGATCTTATTTATGTATTTATTTGACAGAGAGAACGAGAGAGGGAACACAAGCAGGGGGAGTGGGAGAGGGAGAAAGAGGCTTCATGCAGAGTATGGAGCCCCAGGCGGGGCTCGATCCCAGGACCCCGGGATCATGACCTGAGCCGAAGGCAGATGCTTAACGACTGAGCCACCCAGGCGCCCCAAGCTTCCACCTTTTAATCATTCCCCCCACATTATATTTTAGACATCAAAGAAATAAACACCTAAGACAAGCCTAGGCTTTCATTCCCAAGGCCCCTTTCTGCATGGGCGGACACAGAAACTAGCTTTGACCACTTTTCCTGTCACTCCACGAGACCTTGAAAAGGTTCCCACCAGAGGCCCGAGTACCATTAAGACAGACATCAGAGCCCAGCAAACACTCTGAACTTGTCTGTCTAATGCCCATCTCCAAATCTCCATATGCTCATTCTTCTCCCGGATGAGAAAAATCACTCATTCTGTTCAGCTTTTACTATGGGCCAAGATGCCCCCCTTACAACTCTGTGAGGACGTTCTACTGTTATCCCCATTTTATAGACAAAGAATTGAGTTACAGGAAAGTGAAGCAATTCATCCAAGTTCACAAGTGCCTTCTGGACACTGTCCCCAGATAGTGAGTGTGGTACTACAGCCATGCTCCCCACCACACCAAGCTGCCCCCACCTTTATTTTCATCCCCAATTCCTTCTTACCTCCTGGTCCCCAAAAGGCACTGTCCCCACAATACAGCCAAGGGAATTAGTTATTAGGGAGCCGAATTCTGAGCAAACATACAAGTATCTCAAAAAGTTGATGTTTACCAAAGTACTTCATTGATGAAATACTGCACTTACTATTTAAAGTATTTGCACTTGAATAAAGCATCAAATTAATTAAAAGTCCATATTAAAATGCATTAAAAGTAGGCATTTTAGTTAGCTCTGCACTCATTCTTAGGTCATCTTAGATGTCCCCAAATCTTACTCTCCCCCAGCTGGAATTCAGAGTGAGGAAAACATTTCTTATCAGCATCAATGTTACCTCTGTGAGGCAGCTCTGGGAGGTACCCTGGGGGGCCTCTCAAGGGGCACAGTGGGTGTTCCTTCCACTTGTGGGGGGCCTGGGCTACGACTTCTGGTAACCTCAGGGACTTCATTATCCTGCAGCAAAAGAGATGAGAAAGAAAAGGGGAAGTTACATTAAGCAACAAGCATAATCGGACACCATTATCCCAAGAGCCTCTCAGTCCCCCTCAGGCTTCGGCTAAAGGTCATTCACAAACTGAGAATGAATCCAGCAACACCAGGTCAGCTTTCCATTGACGCCTACAGGCACTGAGGAGACAAGGAAGCCCAAATTATCAATGGTCCTTGTTACTCAGAGTGCCCTCTGCGGGCCATCAAATCAGCATCACCTGAGAGCTTGTGAGAAATGCTGGCTCTCAAGCTCCTCCTCAGACCTGTTTGATCAGAACCTGCATATTAACAAGATCCTAGATAATTCTTATGCACATTAAAGGGTGAGAAGCCTGCTCTATATGACCAGATAGAGCTGGAGAAATTTTATTTTTAAACCGAAGTCCCTTTTTCGGACAGCAGAACCGTGAGTGGTTCTCAGTCGTGGGGTAATTAACAGAAGCTGCTCACTGGCGGGGTGGCCCACCCCCAGGACCCTATCTCAGGGAGTCTCCTGGGTTGGCAGTGACCCCTCCTGCTCATCCCAGCCACTGGTCACTGGATCAGAATAGACACCCTGACCAAACTGGGCTTCAGCTAGGGCAGCAGCTCACCCTCTCCTCAGAGGCCTTGTGGCTCTCAGGGGACTATTTGCCACCATACACGTGGAGGAGCAGCAAAGGCCAGCGTCCAGAGAGAGAAGAAAGCAGACATGCCCAGGGAAGAAGAGACGAAAGAGCATGTGGCCCTGGGGATACACGGAGCAGTGGCCTTGGCTCCGCCATTTCTCACTGCTCCTGATCCAAGCCCCAAAATGTGATCTCAAGCCCCAGATTCCCTGAGAGTCATCCCGCTCCTTCTCACAGATGCCCTTTGGGCTTAACCAGTCAGAGCGAATTTCTATTTCTCCCTCCCTCCCTCCCTCTCTCCTTTCTCCCTTCCCTCCTTTCCTTCCTTCCTTCCTCCCTCCCTCCCTTTTTATTGAGGTAAAATTCACATAACATAAAATTAACCATTTAAAGTGAACAATTCAGTGGCATTTAGTACTTTCACAATATTGTACAACCACCACCTCTATCTAGTCCCCAAACATTTCATCATCCCCAAAGGAAACAGTACTCCCCGTTTCCCCCTCCCCCAAGCCTCTGGGAACCCCCAAATCGGTATTCTGTCTCTCTGATGCTACCTATTCTGGATAGTTCACATAAATGGAATCCTATATTATGTCACCTTTCTTGTCTGGCTTCTTTCACCTGGATTTCTACTTCCTGCAGTGGAATGACCCCTCGGACAAGAAAAACGGGGGTGGGGTCCCCAGCCCTCACCTCATTGTCCCCCTCCATCCCGCTGCTCACACTGAGGAGGCTCCGGGTGCTGGATCGGTTACTCGTACTGCCTGAAGGGTACAAACAAAATTAGCCGGACTGTGGATTCTCTCAGGCTAAAATAAAATGCAGGACTCTAGCACTTACTTATTTTTACTGATAGAAACAAAACATAAGCTGTGAATATGGGATCTTCAAAATGCTGCCATCTTATACCATTTTATTAGTGTTCAGTTTTTCTTTCAGCATAAAATGAAATGGTTCACCTTTTTATTACTTTTTTTATTTTTTTGCTTTATAGCCACCGTTTACTGAGGGCTTACCACACATTACATGCTTTAAAAACATGACTACACTTAATCCCTGTGAAAATCCTATCTGATATTAGTGCTCTGGTTTAACAGACAAGGAAGCAGAGATGCTCTATTTCTTACTTGTTCAGCGGTATTTCTAAAATCTGCAAACATCTTGTTGAAGTTTTTTACTTATTTAGGAATTAGAGCAAGCATGTAATCACACACACACACACATATATACCTTCCAAAAAGGGGCCAGTTTTTTTTTTAAAGATTTTATTTATTTATTCGACAGAAAGAGACACAGCGAGAGAGGGAACACAAGCAGGGGGAGTGGGAGAGGGAGAAGCAGGCTTCCCGCGGGGCAGGGAGCCCGATGTGGGGCTCGAGCCCAGAACCCTGGGATCATGACCTGAGCCGAAGGCAGATGCTTAACTGGCTGAGCCACCCAGGCGCCCCAGTAAGAGGCCAGTTTGATACAGACAAAATACAAAACACAAACTCCAAAGCATAATTTATGCTCACAGTAGGAACTATGATTGTGTGAGTTTAGGTGCTCAAGGCATTTGAATTGGGAATGTATCACCTACCTATCTTACTAGAACAGCACTATCCAATAGAACTTTCTGGAAAGGTTCTATTGTATACTATCCAATATGGTAGCTACTGCATATCAGGAACTGAGGAACTAAACTTAAATTTTTTAGTTTTAATTAACTTCATTTTAAATAGCCACATATGGCTAGTAGCTACCATACTGGATAGCACAGAATTAGAACAAGATCAATTATGTGATGATCCAGGAGCAAAAAAAAGAATAAAGTTGGTCAACTAAGGCCAAAAAAATTGACTTTAATTTACCACTGTCGCCACTAGCAGTATTGCCAGATCTTAGGTTTACTGAATTTCCTCTTAAAACAGCTTCTCATCTTATTAGTTTATAAGTAAAGAGTCTTAGTTTCAACTTTATTATGCTACCAACTTTGACCTAATTAATTCAGATGTGAGCTGAAATAGAGCAATTTAAGATTATAATTTTGGATTATTTCTTGGGGTAGATTTTTACATTTAAAATAATATATCAAAATACTTAATAAGCCAGGGGATTCAGAGTGTTATTTTAAGGAGCACATGACCCTTTTCCTTTGTATTCAGTTACCCATACATAACAATGTCCACTTGTCCAGAATGTCCCCAGCCCACTCCTATGCACAAAGCAAAAACCTCAGGCTCCAATGCTCAGGACAAATGCTATGGAAACCTTTCCAGATTCCCCCAGTGGAAGTAACCCCTCCAGCCCATGGGCTCCCAGTCCTGTAGAGCCAAGTCTCTGTCATTCACCATTCTTCATCCCACTCCCTCACAGTGAACCAGCCTCCTTCCGAAGGTTATCTGCTGGGAGAGAGCAAAAAGCTGTCCTGGCTCCAGCACCCTAGAAACTCACACTCACCAGCTCCCATTGTGCCTTCCCTAGGTGTTCCTAAATCTTTAACCCCCAGAGTTTGGCTTTGAACCTTGGCTCCCTGGTTCATCTGCCCTGACCTTCTCCCTCCCCAGGCTGACTTGCTTACGCCCATCCCCTCTGGATTGCATGGTTGGGAGGAGGCTCTGGCCCCCATCATCTTCCCTCTTGCCAGGGGGGAGGAGGGCAGTGCCTACCTCTTCCAGGCCTCTGTCACCAGGAAAGAAGATCAGACAAGCATCTAACTCATGCTAGTTTTATATCTTCTCTACTCCATTACAAGCCACCTGAAGACCGGCTCCATTTCTTTTTCATCTTTGTATCCCCAGTGTACACTCTTGCTCAGAATACACAGAGCAATCTTCAAATATTTGGTGGATAAATGAATGAGGGGGAGAAAAAGTGACCAAATATAATATGACCCTTAAGAAACATGGACCCGACAGTCTACGAAAAGGTTAAAAGTCTCTGTAATAAAACCTGTGTTCCGTTAAACATAACATTAATAATCTTAACTAAAATCTTAGTTATGAACAGATTTAACCTGCATCTGTTTTTCTGTGGTTCCCAAGAGATGACAGCTGCACCATAATACAGATAGTGCTATCTTCAGGGTGTGACCCTGGCAGATAAAGGGCAGTTGGTAGATCAGGGCTGGGCCAGCTTCACTCTGTCTCCCTGCCCTGGGGACTATACCTATTTGGAAGGCAGTATGTGCCGATGGTTAAGTGCACAGCAAGATCTGGATGTGAATCCCAGCCAGACCTTCTGCCTACTTGGCCTGTGACCCAGGGCCCAACCTCTCTCAATGTCCGTTTCCTGATCTAGAACTCCCAGCATTGTTGCACAGAATGGGTTAGGTCACATAGACACATGCTTGGCACAGGGCCTGCAAGATGAAGCAGCTACCACCACTTCATCAGCCCCAAGATCCATTAGTGACCCCCAGACCTTCACCTCCCAGGACCCATGGGTCTGAATAGGCCCTTCCATCCCTCCTTCCAGGCTTAGCTATGTAGCTTGCTCTTCAATATGACAAGAGTGAGTGTGATGCGAGGTAAAGCATGACAAGCACTTGCACATTGGGGTCTACCCTTCTGGAATGTTCCCTTTCTGGATTTTGTTACCGTATAAGAAGTTCAGGCTACTGACTTAGAGGCCATATGTGGAGAGGCCCGAAGGATGACAGACCATCTAGGATGGTCCCCGCCCATGCCAAGCCTATAGCTGATGACACGTGCAGGAGTGACCCCAACTGACCCACACGGAGCGGAGATGAACCATCTCCACTGAGTCTTGCCCAAGTGCAGAATCAGGTATAAATAAATGGTTGTTTCAAGCCACTGTGTTTTGGGGTGGTTTGTTACACAGCAATAGAAAACTGAAACTGTATAGCAGGGACTGGATGCAGGCAACAGCCACAGAGTAGAGTACAATCCACTGGTCTGACACTTAATAACATTTTCTGACCAGATGAGCTAGCTGTTCCTGGGCAATAAACCATTGCCCGAAGTAAGAAGCACAGTTTATGCTTTTCATTCTCTTTTCACCTCAAAGTAAAACATACACATAAAATCACTTAAATTAATCTGAACCTGAAATGAGTACTTTCCATTTATCTTGTTAAATTTCCCCTCCTCTCTGCCCCGGAATGCCCTGCCCTCACCCCGAGAAGATCTATACCACATCTCTCCTCTACCACACATCCGAGAGACAGGCCACCTGCCTTGTGCTTTCTCAGCCACCAGGGATCACTAGGAAAAGCTCTCCCATTTCTGAACTTGCCAGAATTCTCCAAATTGCCTCAAGAGGGTTTTGGATACACATTACCACCCCTATTATGGAAGGAGAAGTTTTCTCCTCTGCCCACATCCTCTGTGGTGATGTGACAGGCTTTGGGTCTGTTTCAACCAGTAATAGTGAGTGGCGGGAACATGAACCTGAGAGAAAATCTGGGCCTGCTCCCACCTTGGCTTCACTGGCTGTGTGACCTTGCACAAAACTCTTTCCTGCTCTGGATGATAAATACCCAATCTCTAAAGTAAGAAGGGAGACTAGTGCCGCGGTTCTTGACCTAAGTCCACAGACAGGCAGCCCTGTGTGTATATGTATGTACACAAGCCCGTGCACTTCTCTGGGAAGCACATTCAGAGAATAGATCAGATTCTCAAACGGTCTGTGATGCAGAAAAGATTGAGAACCCCTGTGTTTAGATGACTTTCCTGTCCTCATATCCATCTGGAGGTTCTCTGCCTGACATTTAAGGAGCCACGAGTCCTGAAATGCAGTCCTGAGTCTCCTACTCCTTCATTGCTCTCCTTGCTGTTTTGATAACACTAAACTGTATGAAAGAAGGGAAACTCAATCTATTCTGCCGGTGAAGCAGGTGCGTCTGAGGTCCGCCAGGCCCGCCCTGGATACGAAAACAAAGCCCACACCTCCTGCGTGTCCATCAGCAGGTGTTGTCTATTGCAGTCAGACTCTATCAAGCTTTCAACCAAAATGTCTCCCACATTTCCTAACTGGATTCTCAACTCGTCCATAAAGTTGGAATTCTCAAATGTAAGTCCATTGTTTTCTAATGTTTCTGACTTTGGCCCTTTCCTTCCCCTTACCATGGCTGAAGAAGCGGAAAGGATAGTGGTTGAGAATCCGGGCCCTGGATCCAGGCTGCCCGAGTTCAAATCCTGATACCACCACTTACTAGCTGTTTAACCCAGGGCAAGGCACTAAGAGTCCAGTTTCCTCCTCAGTAAATACAGGTGATGGTGCCTATCCCAGAGAGTTACTGTGAGAATTAAATCAGAGAATCTATAGAACAGGCTTAGCATATAGTAAATGCTCAATAAATGTTAACTAGTGTTATTAGTAGGCTTTTCTACTTATAAAAGGAACGGTGTAATAAATTATTACACAACCTGGCTTCAGGGGATATTGATATAAAGGATCTTTGGCCCTCTAAAAAAAGATAAACTGCACAGGCTAAATGTCCCCCATTTCTTACATCCCCCCAAACCCAGCAGATCCCAGTTGGACCTGCTGGGTTTGTGAGCCCCCGAAACCTGCTGCGCTTACAGTAGAGACTGGTCCCAAAGCCCAATGGCACCAGCGGAAATGCAGATGTGAAGGCAAGCCCCCGGCCCTGCTCACTTGCTGTGCTGGAAGTACTATCTGTTTTCCAGTCTCCTCGCCTTAGCTCCATCCTTGGGGGGAAGATGCTTTTCCTGGGGCCGCTCTCATAGACTCCAAACTCCACTTTCCCAGGCAGGTGCTGTGAGTGCCGAATCGGGACCGTGATCTCCAAGTCTAGAATTAGAAGAAAGAGAGATAAGCTTCAAGGCACCTGACCGCGACCCGCCAAACTGCTCGGCTCCTTCTCCACCTGCCTCCCAGGCCTGAACCTGGAGGATGTCTGGCACGGAAGGGCAGGGCGTGGGAAGGGGGAGGGAGCCCTGCCCAATTCAACACTGAAACTCCACAGACTCCTGTGTGGCCATCACTGTGTGGCAGAGAAGAGGTCAGAGGCACGTTGAGAAAGCCTGACAAATGCTCCCACATCAGGCAGAGAGCCCGCGATCAGGGAAAGGTCTGGGGCCTGCAGCTCTGCGACCCCCCAGCTGTGCGACATGGATGACTTCCCTATTGGAGGGGGACTCATGAGCGCTGTTGATCCTACTAACTGGTTATCCTGTGCACCAAGCAGAGTTCTGTGAGCTTCCCAACCCCCATGAAATAAATACTATTATCATCATTCCCAACAGAAACTAGTTGCAGAGAAGTGAAGTAGCACATGGCTGGTAAGTGGGACAGCTGGGATTTGAACCCAGGCTCCAGAGTCCAGGTTCCTAACCACTACTCATACGGCCTCTGAATCCCTCAACAAATGATGGGTACTGGGTGCATGGTCTGCAACTGACAGCAACGGCCCAGAGAGCTAATGAAAGGAGGTCCATCAGCCCCATAAAAGATTTTGAGACTTGCAAGGCTGACCAGTGGCTTTGGAGCTGAGAGATTATTCCTTCACTCTGCAGAGCATTAAACTGGTCTCTTGACTGGCTTAGTTTAGCCCTGCCTAGGAGTTGGTCTTTAGTCCTCCCTAGATTTCCACTCCCTGGGTTCTAGACTGAGCAGAACAAAATATCTGTGGAGGCCCATACCCCACTTCCTCCCCCGGGAAAGTGTGAACACCAGTGAGCTCGTGTGACAGGGCTCCCGTGATGCCGGGAACGTTCCCAAGCCCGGGGGGCAGGGCCCCTGGGAGAGAGAGGTGTGAGCTCCGTGTACTTTCAGGCAGTGTGCTCTTATTTTCATGGTACCACTCCCTCCGGTGCCTCTCCTCTGCTGCGGGATGGGTATGGCCAGGGCTTTGGGGAGTCCAGGGGCAGAGGTGGCTCTGCGTGCCAAAGCCAGGGTCTGCCCAAGAACGGCGAATGGGGAGACTACAACCATAGGAAAGAGGAAGTTCGAGGACAGGGCAGACTGAGCCTGTGGGAAACACTCCACACAGAGGACCTTGCAAAGCTGGACTGTGGTTTACGTGGACCTCACACGTGCCTCACCCTAGAGACGGGTTCCAAGCGCAGTGTTTGGTCCTAGTATTAAACCAGCTTTCTAGGTCTCTGTGTGACACGGATCTTTCTCACAGCCTCAGGCTCGCCTCATTACAACGCAGCAGGGCAGCAACCACCAGAGCCTGGAACCACCTGCATGTGGGTGTGGGCCCAGAGTGGCTCAGGGCCCAAACAGGCGTCATCCTTTCATTTTATTTTTTTCCCTCAGCTTTGACCTAGTATTTTTTTTTAAACAACAGTCTCTTAAAGGGAGGTTCCAATCTGCTTTAATTCACTTCAGTGTGGCAATTTTCTACCCTCAACCAGTTCTATGAGGAAGGAAAGTAAAATACACATGAAAAAAAAAATTGGGAGTCAAAAGTTCAAAAAATCAAGTAGAGCCAGTCTAAATGTCTACCAAATCCTGATATTCCTGGAAGAAAGAAAAAATGCCAGGAATAGTAATCAGCATTATATCTTACAGTACTTTTCCCGGAGCGTGTCTCCATGGGTCATTATACCTCCTCTGAACTTCACTTCTTCCCTGTGAAGTTGGTAAGTCAGGTACAAGCATGGGTGAAGAAACTGAGGCACAATGTGATTAAAGGGACTGTCCTGGATCGTAAAGTGATGCAGTGATTGGAGTGGAGGGATGGGAGCCCAGGCTGCCTGGCACCCGGCCTGCTCCTCCTGGTTCTGCCCCAGATGAACCCCAGACATACCCAGAACACAAATACAGACTGTCTTCTTTGGGGGTGTTCAACAAGTCACGGGCCATGCCAACCCCTCTGATCTATACCATCAATGTTCTGCACCATCCCAGCAAGAACAAGACAACCCGCCAAGGCTGAAGAAAAACTAGCACATTATTATGAACGGAATCTTACTTTTTAATTATCATTGGTGTTCTAAATTAAAGGAAAATAGTCATCGTTTTTCTTTTCTAAGGCAAATGAGATTTCTAAATAAACAGAGTCAGCCCTTCTGTTTAGAATGGGTTCTGTTCCTAGAAAAGGTCTTTTAAGCAGAAATGCCATTTGTTAACCCTAATTTTCCTACAGATTGATGTTACCCTGTGTCAATGGTTTCTAAATGTTTTTCTTTTTTCTTTTTTTTTTTTGGCAGGGGTGGGGAGGAACCAGAGTTCTTTTTTTTTTTAGATTGTATTTATTTATTTGAGAAAGAGAAAGAGAGAGAGATTGAAAGAACAAGTGGGAGGAGGGGCAGAGGGAGAAGCAGACTCCCCACTGAGCAGGGAGCCTGATGCAGGGCTCGACCCCAAGACCCTGGGATCATGCCTTGAGCCGCGGGCAGACACTTAACCAACTGAACCACCCAGGAGCCCGGGGAAGCAGAATTCTTTCATCTGGTGAAAACAGAAGCTCAATGTGGAGAGAAGATTTTTTTTTTTTTTAAAGGAGCTGCAATGGTCAAAGCAGAGTGGGTTGCCCTAAACCTGTCACAATCCTAACCTCTTCCCCCACTTCCCCCTACCCCACCCCCAGTGCCTACCCTTTACTCCCACGAGCACACATAGGCAGCACTGAGGCTACTCAGTGTGAAATAGCCCATTACAAGTTAGTATGCCACTAAATACATAATCGAGTTTTATGGAGTTAAATAATATGCCATATTTAGTCAACCATAAATGATGCCCACTCTTTGGCAGGTGATCTGATGCCCTTGGGCCTCACCATGTAGTATATGGTCCAACTTCCAAACTGCCTGAGGCTTTCTCTGGTAACTAGATGATAAGCACCACCCCCCACCCCCAATGGGCCTCCCCCGGACACGGGAGCTGGTGAAGAAACGCCCCAGCTCTCTGGCCCCTTCCATGGTGCTGTCCATTGACTCCCAGAGCCTCCAGAGACAAGCTCCAGTCTCCACAGTGGTAACTGCACCTTCCTGGCCACCTCTCTTTCCCTCTCTCACTTCCCCACTCCCCCTGTGTTCCTGGGATCATCTCCCACCATTTGCTCTCAAATCCTTGTCGGGGAAGAAAAAGTTCTAGAAATGGATCATGGTAATGGTTGCCTGATATTGTGGATGTATTTAACGCCACTGAATTGTACACTTAGGCCCAATGATAAATTTTATGTTATGGGTATTTTACCACAATAAAAAACAAAAACAAGAGGCATCTGAGTGGGGCAGTCAGTTAAGTGTCTGACTCTTGGTTTCAGCTCAGGGCCTTGATCTCAGGGTTTTGAGATCCAGCCCCACATTGGGCTTTGCACTGAGCACGGAGTCGGCTTGGAACTCTCTCCCCCATTCCCTTTGCCTCTCCCCCCTGTGTTCTCTCTCTCTCTCTCTCTCTCTAATAAATCTTTAAAAAAAAATGAAAATGAAAGGAACCATCTTGGCGCTGATGGGTAGAACATTCTCTCTCTGGTGGATTGTGTGTGGTCCCCAGTTGTTCTTGTTTAGTGTCAAATTAGATATGGTTTAATCTTCTAATAGTTAGGACAGTAATTAAAGGCCCTAATGTAAAAAGTAAAAATACTTAACACCTCCCCATAAAACCTAGTCAGAGGGTCTTCTTGAAGAGTAGAGGGGAAGGGAAGCAAGGGCATTTAACCATGTTCCTTTGAAAAAATGTAGACCTTGACCATTCTAGTGAAGAGACACTGGTGGGTATCGCTTATTCAGAGCCTGATTAGCTTTGGCTGAACTTTGTATAATGTTCCAAAACCCAGGATTCCAGGGCTGGACCCTGGATGGCGAGTCCCAGCCCAGTGCACGCACCCTGGGACGCCCTGCCTGAGAGGACACCAGCTGCTGGACGGGTGGGTGGTCTGTACAACAGTGCTTCCATGTGCCAGGCACTGTGCGAGACCCCAGCTAGCCCCTAACTTGTTCAACCCTCACAGAAACCCTAGTGGGGGAGGCACTTTTATTTGTGCCATTTCGCAGATGAGGACCGAGGCTCAGTTGGGGGACTTATCTTGCCCATGGTTCCCAGCTAATTATGGGTGAGCAGTGGCTAGGAACTTGACCCCAACCCTGATGGCCCAAGGGCCCATGACTGTACCATTTACTCCTCAGCACATGTGTGTGTCTTGCTTCAATATCTCCACCAGTTGGGTGGTAAAGGTGTGATGACACCCAGTGGGCTCAGTTCTGGAGCCCTGGCTGCCCAGTACTCATAACTCCAACACTACAACTCTCTGGCCTTCAAATACTCATGCACCACCAAATCACAGCTTTTTTGAGGCTGCCTATGTGTCAAAGCATGAAATGTTTCATTTAATCAAGGCTTCTATCTTTGGGTTCATGTGCTCTAGTTTTAAAAGGCACCTCGTCCCTTTTCCCACCTAGAACCTATTGTCTGACCCTAAGATGACTATGCAGATCTTGAACCAGATTTTTTGCCTTCAGCCAGGAGGGCAAACACGTGTGAGCTTGGGTGGTGGAAGCATACATTTAAGATCTAGTCACCCAAGCAGACATCTTAGGATGAACTCTCTGACCTTCTGCCATGGTTATAACCTCTGGATGCACCTTTTCCCAAACAGTCAAAATCACTAATATTCAGTAGGCTAGTACCATATGCAAAATACTGTGTTAGGCATTGTGGGGCAGGCTCTAGCTGGGAAAATCAGACCTACACAAGTAAAAGACTAACTCATAAACTACCTAACGGTGAAGATCATGCCTTATGGGTCTCTGTCTGGCAGAGAACCTGGCACTCAGTTAAGTGTTTGTGGAATGAATGAATGGTGTTACCAAACGTTTTATTCCAACAGAGACTCCTTGAGCCCAATCAGTGTACTGTCCTACACGCTGGGGGCTCAGCAGAGCGCAGAACAGACAAGCTCTTGCCCTCATGGTGGCGGCAGGGAGATGGGCCAGAAGATAACCATGAGAGTAGGCACAGAAGGTAATTCCAGTCTGTGATATGTGAAAACAACGGGAGCAAAGGCACAGTGAGTCGTGAAGGATCGCTCTGGAGAGAATGTGGAGGCCTCTCTGAGGAGGAGAACTTACAGCCAAACTTTGAAGGCGGAAAGAGCCAGTCAGTGAAGACATGGGAAAAGTGGAGGGGGGACAAAGGCCCGGGGGGGGGCTGCTCTTGACTTGTTAGAGGAACAATAAAGGAGTCCTTTGGGACTAGAGCACGGGGTTGAAGGGGAAAGTGGAGGTGAGCTCAGGGGTGAGACCACGTAGGGCCTCTCAGGCCACAATGAGGAGTGTGATTTTACTCTGGGTGGGACCAGAGCCCCTGGAGGGTTTTGAGCAAGGGACTGGCATGATCTGATTTTTTATTTTTAAAAGGTCATTGGCTGCAGTTTGGAGGATTAACTGTAGAAAAGGGAGAGTGGACACGGGGCGACAACTGAAGAGACTCCTCATTCATCCAGGAAGAGATGATGGTGGCCTGCCTGCAGCTGTGGCAGGGGAAACAGAAATAATCAGATTTAAGATGCATTTTGGAGGCAGAACCTCTGGGAATTGATAGTTTGAATACAGGAATGAAGTAATAGCAATCAGAGGCACAAAAGAGAAGTGCCGGGTGAATGGAAGGGACAGTAGGTCCTATAAGTGCTCAAGTGGGGAAGGAGTGCAGTGGCCCAGGAAGGCCTTGTCGAGCAGAAGCTGCCGGGCTGGGTCTTCCAGCCCACGAATTTTCATACAGGTGAGAAAGAAAAGGCATGAGCAAGGGGCCCGTGGAAGGAAGATGTCATTTTTATTTTTTTTATTTTCATTTATTTTTTTAAAGATTTTATTTATTTAATTGACAGAGAAAGAGAGACAGCGAGAGAGGGAACACAAGCAGGGGGAGTGGGAGACGGAGAAGCAGGCTTCCCGCCGAGCAGGGAGCCCGATGCGGGGCTCGATCCCAGGACCCTGGGATCATGACCTGAGCTTAAGGCAGTCGCTTAACCAACTGAGCCACCCAGGCGCCCCAGGAAGATGTCATTTTTAAAGTCTGGGGTGTCACCTGCCTAGCCAGGGTCATGAGAAGTCAGGCTATTGATGGTAGCTGAAGACAGACTACGGAAGTTATACATAAACTTAGTCCTTCATTTAATGGGGCTCTACTCAAGATCCGAGAGCTTCTGAAAGCCTTTTATTGCCAGCTCTACTTGGTATAAGCTGGCCAAAATAAATCACAGAGACCCACCATGCTGGAGGTTCTTGGTGGAAATATGCGATGTTGGCAAATGCCCCTCACTGCTCAGGGCTAGGGGTGCTGAGAGGCCTCGTCCTCAGTGTACACAATTGGAATATATGGCCCTGCTTTGGGCCCCCACTGCACATGGCAGGAGCCCTGCTACACCTGAGTCCTGGCTTCTGAAGCACTGTGTGGTGCGGACACCAATGATATGCTTCCCTGCTTCAGTCAGAAACAGACACTATGTGCATGAGTTTTCTCCTGTCTCTGCTCAAAACACATGTCTTCCTAAATGCCCAGGGGAGAGTCAGGTGCCTGGGGAAAAAGTCTTATCATCCTCTTTGAGTGAAGGGATGGGAGATGCAGAGGTGAATCCATTCATTCACTTGCTGACATGTCCTATGTGCCTGGTACTAGAGATACAGAATAAACAAGACAGGGGCTCCTGGGTGGCTCATTCGGGTAAGCGTCTGACTCTTGGTTTCGGCTCAGGTCATGATCTCAGGGTTGTGGGCTGGAGCTCCGCACAGGGCTCTGCACTGAGCGAGGAGCCTGCTTAGGATTCTCTCTCTCCCTCTCTATCTCTGTCCTCCGACGCCCCGCACACTCTCTTTCTCTCAAAAAAAAAAAAAAAAAAAAAAAAAGGAACAAACAAAACAAAGCCATTGCCCAAAAGAACCTCACAGTACAGTGGGGTACCCAGATCTGTAAACAGGGTAACAGGCAAGCACTCTGCCCACGCAGGCCACAGCAGAAAGGAGAGTTAGGGACAATGGATCATAGCAGCCCCCCCCAATGCAGCACCCCCAAAAGCTACATACCTGCTTGCTTTCCTGATTTTTGCTTCTCCCTCTGTCTTCGGGTGATGCTGTCCCTTAGCCGTTTAAGATTTTCCTGGAAAAAAATTTAGTTCATTTTAAAAGTATATACGAGAAATATACCCTCCAGGCATTAAGAGTTTCTTTCAGATTTTATGCTGTTTACAAGATACATCCCATTGCAATAACATCTCCAACATGCAAATGAAGCTGAGTGCATTTGTAATCGGCCCCCAGAGAAATTCAAGTACTCTTAGAAGTTGTGCCTGAAGAGAAGACCCCTTTCATACAACAAAGCGTCTCCCCACCCCTCTGGTTCCCAGCTCCTTCCCAGCCTTATAAGCCCCTGCCCTCCTCCTTGTAGGCTCCTTTAGCCAAGCCAGTCCTGTACACGTTCACAAACGCTCCAGGCACATATCTGCCCGAGACTGGGTTTTCCTGCCATTCCTCTGACCATGAGGGGGAGGATTCCTCCCCATGAGTCTGTTTCAGGTCTTGGTCAAGGTCCACCTTCCCCCTTAAACCTCTCCAGACTGCTCCGTTGTGCAGCCTGCTCCACCTGGCGCTGAGCTATGCTGCCGGGCCCAGTGCATTTGTGCATGTGTGTGGCTTTGGGGAGGGTGTGTTGTCTCTTCAGAGAGACCGTGCACTCTCAAAGGGCAAGACACGAGGCCGTATAGCTTTCTGAAAGCCTGCAGTCGGGTCTATCAGTCATTAAACAAATGTTGAATAGACATGTGAGGGTTGAAATTTGTTGCTATTTTAGTCAGTAACAACTACCTCAAGGTGTCTGAACATCCGAGAGAAAATGCCCCAAGGACTAACGTCTAGACATCGAGAAGGGTCCCATGGGGGAGCCACGGAGCCCAGACGGGGAGGGGTGTTTGGGCCGTGACTACAGCTGAGACTGAGCTTGTCCAGGAAGCAGCAGGAAACACTGGAAGGCGTGGGCTGGGCACAGCTTTAAGGTCTGACAGACTGGAGGCGGGAGGAGTCGGCAGCAAGGAGATCCACCTAGACACTATGTGGCAGGCACATGACGGTGACAGAAGCTGGCCCCAGGGGAATGGAAAGGAAGGAGCAGATGCAAGAGGAAGAATCACAGAGCAGGACCAGGCAAGACATGCAGCTGGCTGGATATGGGGGACTGAGGGAGAAGAGCCCAAGGGATAGAAAGTCTCTGGAAGTGTCTGGAAGGTAACAGTGTGGTGAACAGAAATAGGGAGCCAGGAAAGGGAAGCAGCCTCCAGGTACAGTTTGTTGCTGGACATGCTGCGAGTCATGGACACCTCAGCCGGACACACCCAGCTGGTGGCTGCAAGGTGGGACTGGAAAGGGGACATGGACTCAAGAAGGACCTGAAGGGACCCTGGGTGGTGCCTACTCACAGGAGGGGAAGTGAAGGAGACAGAGAAGTGGACAGACGCGTGGAGGAAAGGGAAGATGGGGCAGCCTGTGGAACGGTCTTCACACCCACTGGTCCCTGGATGGGGGATGCTCTAGAAATACCAAGAGGCTCTTGGGGCACAGAGTAGTGTCAGCTCCCATGGGCTGGGATTGCCTGCTATGTCAAATATGAGCCCCCATTGTCTGCCACACCCAGGAGTTCTGGGCAAGTTCGTGGGACCAGGAGAAGCCTCTTGGATACAGATGGAGACGGAGCGCTAACATTTGTTATGCGTTTACTGGGTGCCGGGCATGCCGAGTCCTTTACGTGGTTTACACTGTCCAGTGTTCACCCTTCACATTTGAGGTGGGAAACAGAGGTAGAGAGAGGCCGAGGTCATTCAGCCCCAAGTGACAGAACAAGGATGTAACTCGGGCTGCCTGGCCCCGGAGCCTGCTCTTACGGACTGCACAACATGGGCACATGACCTGGTCAGGAGAAAGAACACTGTTGTTTGCCCAGGGCCAGGCTGTCCCGGGAGGACAGAGGCGGGCCAGCAGAGCAGGGGACCCTCTTGCAGGGAGCACTAAGAAGGCAGAAAGTGTAGCGAAGGGAGCACAGGCTCTGGCGTGAGAAAGGGTTCCTCTGAATCCTGACTCTCTACCACTCCGAGCCTCAGTAGTCTGTAGAATGGGAACAATGGTACTTCTCTTGCATGCATGCTAGAAGCAGCAGAAGAGATTAGGTCCATTCAACGCTGAGCATTGTCAGTAGACTGCTGGCACAGCTGGACAGATGCTGCTCGATGACTCACTTCCCCACTCGTCACCACTCTGAGACAGGACTCCAATCTCAGCAGTAGGTGGGTGCTGCTCCCACTGCCTCTCCCCCCAACGGCAGGTGTGTCAGGTCTTCTGAGGACAGAGGTTAGAAGACACACCATGGGGAGGTGGAGAGAAAAAGCAACCATTCTGGTCCTGCCTTGCCCTCCGCTTAATGGGTAAGTGGTCTTGGATATGTCTCCTAACACCCTAGGCACAGCTTCCTCTTTCTAATATGAAGGAGTTGGACCAAGGAATATGCTTCCTAAGGTCAAGTTTGAGTTCTCTGGATTGCTTTAAATTATGCACAGAGTACACGTGTGGAGTTATATAGATTCTTACAAAAATAACAGGAGTCTTGGGCGCGTGGGTGGCTCAGTCGGTTAAGCGTCTACCTTCAGCTCAGGTCATGATCTTAGGGTCCTTGGATCGAGCCCTACGTCGGGCTCCCTGCTCAGCGGGGGAGTCTGCTTCTCCCTCTCCCTCTGCTGCTCCCTCTGCTCGTTCTCTCCCTCTAGCTCTCTCAAATAAATAAATAAATAAAAATCTTTAAAAAACAAAACAAAACAGGAGTCTCCTCTAGGAGCCTTGTCCTCCAATTCCAGTCTCCTGAGTGGTCACGCTTGGGATGGTCATGGCGTAGCCTCCCCTGACCTCTGCCTCCGCCTTTGTATACATGCCTACAGAAATACAGTTTGCGTGTGAGTGTGCTCTGACTTGGGTGGTTTTAGGTCTGTGACGTGTTTTGTTGTCTTAATCCTATTTCTTGGGAACTGTCCAAGTTCTCTGAGTTCAAAGGTGTGACAGTTCTGTGGGAGTGTTGGCACTACGAGTAGAGAGAAGGGCTCTGAGAAGAAAACAAGCTGGAAAGCCAAAGTATAGGGCCACGTGCAGAGGGAAGTGGCAGCTGAAAAATTAGGGTTGACAGGTGAGTCTTTGTTCCTGATCTCTAGCCTCACGACAACCAGCAAAGCCATCCAGCTCTCAGCCCGGGGGTCGCATGGGTACAGACGACAGGCGACAGACATACACACGCAACGATTCACAGTGACACTCAAAACACCAGTCATGGGCCTGGCCACAGGTGCTCCGTTAGGGCAGCACACAAGACAGTGCAGACCCCGCCCTCCCTTCTGCCTGGTGGAGAAACGGACCTGAAACACACCAGACAGAGTCGGTTACCTGCTGGAAGCGGAAGGACTCCGACCGCCTCTTCTGGTTGAGCTGCCACTCTTTGAAGTGGAGCACAGCCTCATCAACGTTGACGATGCCCAGCTTCACCTGCTCCTGGAGCGTGATCAGCTGCCGCTGGCCTGGCGTTTTCATCCCAGCAAAAGGGTCATATATACTCGACTGGGGCCTGTCCCTCCACGGTCGGACGGGAGGCTCTGGAAAGGATGCCAAAACTCAGGGTGACAGCTCCCTGACCGGGGAGGGCAGGCAGATGAGTGGGGTTAATGAGGTCAGTCATGAGCTCAAGAGGACGGGTCTCAAAAGAACAATTACACGTGGAATGAAGATGGGGGGCATATGACATCGAATCAGAGAGGGGGAAGCAGCGAATAATTTCAAAGCCTGTTATGCTAGAGTAGACAAGGCCACAGCATTTTAGGAGGTAAGAACAGCATCCACTGGGCAAGTCAACAGAATCCCCCAAATCTGAATGATTAGGAAGCCATTAGACTAGCATTTCTCCACTGAGACATTATTGACGTCTTGGACTGGAGAGTTCTTTGTTGTTGGGGGGCCGTCTTGTATGCTGTAGGATTTGTAGCCTCATCCCTGGCCTCTACCCACTAGCATCCCCTACCTCAGCTGTGGCAACCAAAAACATCCCAGACATTGCAAAGCGTCCTTTGGGAGGCAGTGCAGGGAAAGGAGAAATCACCTCCAGTTGAGAACCACTGCTTTAGACTAAAATCCACTCCCAGAAAATAATATATGGGAAATTCTAGGAAGGATGCTTTTCCCAACACACTCCAGCCCTTTACTGTCCTCCCTGCCTCCAAGCTGCATGGGCACCATGACTGTGGACCCATGGGCATGAAATGTCCAAAAAGACTAGAATGTCAATGGAACCATGATCTAGCTCCAATGTCACCAGGCATAGATTAGGTGCTGGGTCCCAAGTGGCTCTCCTTGGGTTGTTCCTCTGCCAACCTCTCCTCTACATGACAAATTCATGGTTCTCTGCTTTGAAGATTCTCAGGAAATATGAAGGCAACCCCTCTCTTTCTCCAGGCTGTGACTCCACTAAGTTCTGTGGAGAATGAGTTCCTTGCAGACGTGATGGGGCCATTGGGCTTGTGAGGACAACTTGACATTTTACTGCTCATTTCACGTAGGGCTATCTCTGATTCTAAATTTCTCTAGCAGGACCCCCATGGGCATTGTGATTCAGGGAGAGAGCAAGAAGAAGAAAGAGAGATGACTTCAAAGTTCATTTGTCATTCTTCCCAAGCATTCACTCATCTGTCTATCCACACCCACAAACCTTTCTCCCAGATTTGCCTTCTTCAAGGCTGTCTTTAATTGTGCTGGAAGACAGGGTGTGGGGAGAAAACAAAATGCATATGCCAACCAATTCCACTCTCCTACTACCTAAGTCCTTGGGATGCCTTCTAAAGCCTAGATGGTGTCATGTCTCCTTTTCAAAAGAATCATCAATGGGATAACATTGAATATCTCTCTTTAGCACAAGGAAGTTAATCAAGAAAAAAGGAGTGCTTATCTCCTCATACTTCCTCAGTCTTTTGAGGAGGAAGAAAAATGTTACTCAACCGCAAGCAAAATGTCTCTTAAATAAAAGCTGAACGAAAGTGTCGTTTACCTAGTACAGATAGGGTACGTAAATAGCATGGTAGGGCTGTATCGTTAGGTAAAGCCTGGGTGCCAGGCTACCCACTTTCATCCTGTTGGCACCAATCTTACTATTTACACTGTTTTGTGTGCTGTCGCAGACACGTTCTGGTGTGTTCGTGTTCTCAGTATGATCAATTTGTACACTATTCTAGGGAGCCCCGATCTCTTCCCCTCTCCCCTTACCATCAGTACAGCACCACCTAAGGGGTCCCCTGGGCCTCTCTGTGTTTCAGTGCTAAGGAGACGTTACACCTGCAAATCATTGAAACATGAACACTTCTACCACCCAGAAGTTCAGGTCATACAAAAGGAAGCTGAGCACATGGGGCTTACCTTTCCTGATGCTCTCTGAGGAAACGTAAAAATTCCCAGGCCGCTCCTGACTTTTTTCTGCAAAAACTATGAGATAAAGAATATTCTAGGTAAAAGCCAAATCAGATTTGTTTTTCCAAAGGGCTTTATAATATTTTAGATATTTACTGGAAAAATTATCAAAATCTTTTACAAAAACGGAAATGAAGGATCACATTTTGGACCACTGTATGCAGTTCTGTAAGTCACAACTCCAGTAGGAGGCAATGAAGGTGCCAAAGGTCAGGGGATTATGGGATGAAGACAGCCCAAACAGACAAGGTCTCAATGCCAGAAAGACAAAGCCAGCCAGAGGACACGATGGATCATTAAAGGAAAGGGTAATGTGAACAAGGACGTGAGCTGGGCCCTGGAATACCCGAACACCTCGAAGCTGGAGAATGAAAGGAAGTGCCACTCAACACGTCAACAGGTGCCATAAAACAGAACTCAGAGCAGTGGGGCAGATACAATGCGTGCACTGCTCCAAAGGGACTTAGATGAAGTCAGTTGTGAGCAACGGACCCAGCAAAGCTAACAGGAAAAACAGAGAAGTGACAGATGCTTACTTGGGGGTAGGAATGCATAGTGATTAAGGTTCCCTGGGGACAATACTCCCCGGATTCAAATCCTGCCTTGGCCACTTAGGAGCCATGTGATCTTGGACAAGAGGCTTGGCCTGTCTCTGCCTCAGTTTTCTTATCTATAGAATGATGATGAATACCTCCCTCCCTGGGTTGTTGTGATGATTACATGAGTTAATATATGGAAAGTGCTTAGAATGGTGCCTGGCACAAGGAAGCACTCAACATTAGCGAAAACTTGAGGTGGATGCCAAGAGCGCAGCAGTACTTGGGCATGCCAGTTAGCACAACTGATAATCTGCACGGTGCTCTACAGTTTATAAATGTATTCTCCCATCTGACCCTCACAATCAGGCTCTGCAGAGTATATTAGGTATTATTATGATACATGCACTGATGTATATGTGTATCATTATGAGACCCATTTTACAGATGAGGAAAGGAAAGCTAAAGGGTGAAATGACTGACCTCATGTCCCAGGCTGGGAGATGCAAAGGCTGGGACATGAACCCAGGGGCTCTGGCCTCCAGACCACTGCCCTTTTTGTCATCCCCTGCCTCTCTTTTCTTTGCTTCCCCAGTTGCCTAGCCAAGTCCTTTGGGGATCTTTAGGAATCACTCATGCCCCTGTCCTAGCTCCCCACAGTGAGCCATAACACTAACGTTCTCTCCTTCCCTCCTGCCATTTAGGAATTATCAATATATATTCACATGCTTCTTCATTTGGGTTCCCTTAGAAGCAGCCCTGGGGACAAGGATCCAGGTGCATGGGGTCAATGTGGGGAGTGATGGAGGTGAGACAGGGAAGTGGATAAAGCCATACAGGTGGGTATCCAGCAAGTTACTGGGGGGGGGGCAAGCTGGGGAGCTCTGGAAAGCAGTGCAGAACACGCAGCTTGGGGTTCTCCCAGCAGAAGGGCAGGGATGCTCAGCCACCAGCCCATCCATCACTGGTTGCCGGGGCTCAGGGGTGCTAACCCCCCAACCCTTCCAGCCTGCCTCGCAAAAGGGCAGAGGAGGCTCTGGCTGCCAGAGAAAGCAGTCAGACTAAGAAACGTGGGTCCTGACAGGCAGGGTGCAGCCAGTGGGCACAGAAATATACAGAGCTGGGGGATGAGGGCAGGGCATCAATAGTGTCTGCTACACACGCCGAAGGAGATGCTCCCCAGGGGAATGGCAAACCACAAGCATGGAGAGTACTGGCTATCCATAATGTCCCCCAGCTGTATTCCTACACAGTGCAGGATTTGCCAGGTTTAACAAACCAAGGCAAAAACTAAAAGAAAAAAAATGCAATATTTGAGAAAGAAATTATTTGCTGTTTGTCTGAAATTCACATGTACCTGGTCACCCTGTACCTGGGGCTCTGGTTGAGGGCTACCTTCCCCAATTTGTGATCGCCTTTTGTCACACCTTCCACAACCTTCTTATGCTATTAAAAATGGGATGGGGATCAGGTGCACAGTTCTGACAATTCTTAGCTCTTATAGTATTTAGAATCCTATCAATACAATCGAGTCCTAAAAAAGAGCAAAACTGACAATGCATCAGCATCTAACTGATCTCCCAGGGACCACTATGAAGAAGTCAAACCCAGCTCTCACCAACTTGTATCAGTGTAGGTAGGTAGACAGCCTAGCATAGTGGCTGAAAGCTGGGACTGTGGAGTCGGATGCCCTGAGTTCAAATCCTGGCTCTGCTACGTGGTAATAGTGACCTCTGTAAGTCTCCATTTTCCTCATCTGTACAATGGGGATGATAACAGCCCTTACCTAATACGTTATTGCAAAGACTAAACGACATGTTCCAGATAGAGTACTCTTGGTAGGTTTCAATAAATGTTAGCCATTAAAAATTAATAATAATAATATTTCAGGAAATAAAAATTTACCAGGGTTCTTGCCATTTGGAGTAGAGGTAAGTTTTTATATTGCACATGAATGCATCCAGGAAAGCCAGAACTGAATGTGATCATGGCCCATGGGCCAGCTCCAAAATCTGCCCCGAGCTCTAACCCCATCTCCTGGGGCTGGTTGGGGACCATTCAGAAGGGGACAGTCTCTGAGCAATGGTTCAGAAGTTAAGAGGATCTAGGGAATTCCTGCTGAGAAGCCCCGAACACCCCACTGAACATCATTCCCTGCCATACTTGCCTTTAGAAATGTATGGCTCATTGTCAGGCAGGTGGTGAGTGCCAGGAGCACTGGCCTCTGGCCTGGGCACCGGGACAGGGGGTCTGTTGGCCAGGTCCACATTAAAGGTCTCGTCGTCATCCACCGTGTGATACACATCTTCTTCCTGACCACCATGGTGTAGCTCCCTCTCCAAACTGGCCATTCCCATGCTGTTACCTAGAAACACAGAGAAAGGTGTCAGAAAGCAGTGACCAAGCAAACTGGTGACTGACAGTCATAAGAACAGAGAGAGTGACCATAACTTATTTGTCCAGGACCGCCCTTTGGCAAAGACCTTCCCCTATATCATCTCCTGTATGATCTACTGAGAACCCCACTCGAAGCAACTGAGAAAACGCTGTTGTCAACTTCATTTGCCACCCATCAGTGCAGCAAAAGGCAGCGAGCACTAGGCTCTATCATCTTAATTTTATTGCTGGGATTCAGTTATTCATCCCACTGGGACTAGAGGAAAGAGAGCATAGCCTCCAAAGCCGAAGGACACTTGGAACCACTGCCGCGGTGCCTGGGCAGCGGCGTGAGGGGGGCCGGGAGTTCTCCCCACCAATGGCTCCAGCATCCTCATCGAGTCCTCCCCACCAACGGCTCCAGCATC